CCAACACATATTTTATCACGAGGGTGAGCTTTCCAAACTGTGGTTTCGGGGAGCGACTGGGCATCGCCTGAAGAGTATAGTCGACATACCTATAGAAGGACTAAAATATGTACAAGTAAACAAGCAAGCACATATTTAATCGTACGCAACTTTGGCATTTATTAAAACGTTGACCACATTATGAGCCACCGGTGGCTCACGAGTGGCCACGTGAGACAATATGAGTCAGTGGTGGCTCACAACCTTTCGCACAGCTTTTTGGGCTATTGTCGTTTTAATTTCAGCCAGTCTTTCACTTGTATTGTAATGGCTTGTAGAAGATGATCTTCCAACAGGGTTGAGCGAGAAAAATGCTGGCGTCTTACGGGAATACTTCAAATTGAAAACTGGAATTCATTAACTAGGTATTCCTATGCCGGAAGCTCCCAAGAAGGAATCTTTTCGGGTGAAATTTCGATTGTAAGGACTGCGCGAGGCTCCGAACAGAATGTCACATCATATTTGTCGTTGCGGCCATGTGGCGCCAATAGGCGACATTTTGGCGCTAGCAGGTCTTTCTCAAGCGAATTCGATATAAACCTCAGTACCCTCAGGTTATTTGACATGCTTCTTATACATTCATCATCACTTTTTGTTGCTGTGCCATATGGCGCTTCAAACCAGATTCACCCCTTTTCAAATCAAATTCACCATCACTTTCCAAATCAAATTAACCACACTTATTAGGCCGGGCAACTCATCAACCAGATCACGCCAGACACCACTGCGAGCCCCGCCCCGACGGCCACGCCTACTTGTCAGCGCGGACATAGATTTTCAAATCTTGTTTCATAACTTCTGCTTATGTGACTTTTCTTATCTTTTGCTGTTTCCCACAAAACTTTGACTGAAAACGACTGGGCATTGACACATGGCCGACTCCGCCCATTCTCTAGAGTTTGGCAATCTAAGCTCCGCTCCTTGACCACGCCCACTTGCTTTTCGCGGAATTTTGATATTTTTTCAAAATTTTTGCATTTTTGGACTGCTGCGTGAAGCCCCGCCCACTATGAGAGGCTCCGCCCACTTTGAAGAAGCCCCGCCCACTTTTCAAAAATGGTGCAAATCGGCAGTATAGAGTCTCGGCTGGCATGCTAGGGTATTGCTGATCATTCGGAACAAACTTTGCCTGATTTTCTTGTTCCGAGTGACGAACGAGACCCTAGCATGAAAGCCAAGACCCTATACTGCCGATTGCACCATTTTTGAAAAGTGGGCGGGGCTTCTCAAAGTGGGCGGAGCCTCTCGCAGTTGGCGGGGCTTCACGTAGCAGTCCAAAAATGCGAAAATTTTGAAAAATCAAAATTTACGCAAAAGCAAGTGGGTGTGGTCAAGGGCGGGACCCGCAGTGGTGTCTGCGTGAGCAAAAATGCAAAAGGCACAGAAGAAGAAGTTATAGAATGAAACTTGAAAAATCACAATCACGCCAAATTGGGCGTGGGCGGGACGAGATGGTGTACAATGTAATTAAGAATGGTAGGAGTAGCATTTACTGCAAGATTGCTCGATATTTTGCAAAATTTGATAGAGCGACAAAAAAGCGGTCCACGAGGGACAATGTGAGCCACTGGTGGCTCATAGCGGACGCATGCGAAAAAAACGCCACTTCCCTCGCGGCGTTTTCCCGCCAAACGCGATTCCGTCAACGCGTTAATATTTAGCACTACGCTTCACCTCCTATAATTATGTGACATCTGCAAACCACAACTACCATACCACAACTACCACACATTGTCATTTACAAATGGATGGCTTTTGGCTTTGTTGACTCATCGTCTCAATTACTTGAACGAATCGCAACAAATGAATATGGAAGCGCTCACAGTCGGTTTCGCTGCAGACGCTGAGGCTCCACAGAGGTTGAGTTTGGTGTGACGCCAGACTCCCCTGACACGTCTCAGAGTCTGCACGGAGACGATTGCATTTCGACTACTTTTACGTGAGATTGACCAGCGTGCAGCTAACACACCGGGGCGCTGCTCCTGCAGATTCCGGGACACAGCGTGATTGAAAGTCCTTTGAGCAGATTCTGAAGTGAAAGAGTTCACGTATGGACGACGAAGGCGTTGTGGTTTCTGGACTGAATGCTGCCAAGTGACTTTCTCAACAGGCGTCTGTAATTGTTTAGCAGAGAACGCATAGTTTGTATGGACTGTCCTTTATGTGCTTTCCATCGCGATGTGGTATTATTTTCAAAGCAAGTCATGTCTCATTATAATTTTTTTTCCACGCTTCAAAAGGCTCTCGAAACATTCCTTGCATGTTTTTAACCAAAGTAAGTCTTTCAAAAATCGTTCTAGTGGCACTCTGCCTTCAAAACGATGAGCTGTGCAGCTCGAATACTAATGACAATAGGTGGGTGATTCAGCAGTGAAGAAAAGAATAGGAAAAAAAATCATTCGAATTGCCCCGTATAGGTTCCCTTGCCAAATAGAGCTTGTACGTGCGTAAAGCGAAGAGCGAAGAGGAACACGCGCCACCAGGAAGTCTTTCGCAGCAAATCTCGGGTGTTGCTTTGGGCCGTGGGCTGGGCGTTACTTTGAAGTGGTGCGTCTTCTATCCTTGCGCGCAGGACTAACAATAAGATGTGCAACGAAAGCGTCCGACCACTAAATGAACGCCGAGCGCACCTTCAAAGGCAAAACCCGCGATCATCCGCCATCACAGATAGTGGATTAGGCTTTCGCATATATACCATTTTCACTTTGAATCGGACACTTTTCAAACCAAATCGGACACTTTTCGAACCAAATCGGACACTTTTTCAAATCAAATCGGACACACCCTACCAAGGGCAGTTGATAACTAGACCACACTAGGTACTGCTGCAAGCCCCGCCCCAACACCCCCGCCCACCTTTCCAGCGCGGTCACGGTTTTCCAAAATGTTTTATGAAATCTGCTTCTTCGACTTTTTCTAACTTTTGCTAGTTGCACACACACTTCAACTGAAAAGGATTGGTACCGATACAGATCTGACTCCGCCCACTTCACAATCAAGTGATGTAAGTTCTGAATTTTTATAACTTCTTTCGACGTCGGTTTTTTCACATTCAATCTTCACACTGCTGTACACTAGGCCCGCCCCTCTGACCACGCCCACTTTCGTTTTTCGCGGAATTTTGATTTTTCTTCCGAATTTTCACTTTTTTAGGCTGTGACAAGCGGCCCCGCCCACTAATGGAAGCTCCGCCCACTTTGTAGAAGCCCGCCCACTTTTCAAAAATGATGCAGATCGGCGAGCTAGTGACCGTACTAGCAGGTTATGGCCTCTCCCGTCACCCGGAACAAAGTTTCCCTTTTTTGTGGTCTTTCCCTTTTTTCATTCTATGTGACGGGAGAGGGCCTAGTGTGCTAGTGTGTAAAAGCATGACTATATTCGTTTTGTGAAGATTGAATGTGAAAAACCGACGTCGAAAGAAGTTATAAAAATTCAGAACTTACATCACTTGATTGTGAAGTGGGCGGAGTCAGATCTGTATCGGTACCAATCCTTTTCAGTTGAAGTGTGTGTGCAACTAGCAAAAGTGAGAAAAAGTCGAAGAAGCAGATTTCATAAAACATTTTGGAAAACCGTGACCGCGCTGGAAAGGTGGGCGGGGGTGTTGGGGCGGGGCTTGCAGCAGTACCTAGTGTGGTCTAGTTATCAACTGCCCTTGGTAGGGGGTGTGTCCGATTTGATTTGAAAAGTGTCCGATTTGGTTTGAAAAGTGTCCGATTTGATTTGAAAAGTGTCCGATTTGGTTTGAAAAGTGTCCGATTTGGTTTGAAAAGTGTCCGATTTAAAGTGAAAATGGTATATAAATAGTTTTTAACATTGCAATTTGTCGTGGGCGGCGAGTGCAGTGCGGCCGAGCTCGCGACTGGCTGCCTTGCTCTACAATGGTGATCGAGCAATGATCGATGTAGGAAGGAATCAGCCACTGGTGGGAAGGCCGCAGGTGGGAACCACTGATTGCGACCCGACTGGTCGCGGTGGTATAAACTGTAGACGTTCTAAGTAATCCGATAGTGAAGAAAAAAAAAAAAAAAACATGCTAGCTGCCCTAGATAATAGAACCCATTCCGATCCCAGCTTGTACGTGCCCATTCACTCCATCTCCCATCTGCGGTTGTAGAGTTCTCATCCGCTCGGCTTATTCCCCGATGAGAACTCTACAACCGCATAAGTGACAATTTTCATGCTTTTTTGTCTTGAACTTCGTTTTGCACTGAAAGGCGGGCCTTGGAGGCGGAGTCACCGGAAAAGCAGCGTTGTTATTTGCGCTATAGCGCCCCTCCCTTACAATTTTTTGCCGCGAAACCGGTACAAGGTTGTTCGTCACGGGCCACACTACCCTCCCGACGCCATATTTTCAACTTCTAAACCTGATTGCACACCGTCTTTTCAAGTACGCATAGGTTTTGCCTCACCTTTTGATAAAAAAATCTTTCAGGCGAACGTACATGAGTCCACTGCTTTTCCTTGCACTCTTATCTGACAGCGTAATCTGTGCAGACATCGTGGAAGGAACCCTTCGCAATGTTCTTCTGTCCATACGAGGAGTTGGTGAAAGGGTATAGGAACTATTTCTCTGTTGAAGGTGCTGCCAGCTCACTCCAATCACACTAAAGCGTGAATCCATTATATATTTCACATATATGAAGGATGAATAAAAAACACATCCTATTATTACACAAAAAAAGCACAAGCGCATGTTCTTGCCCAGAATGTCATGTAATAAGGCTTTACGTGAATAAAGGGACGGTATAAGAATTGAAACTGAATAGGGAAATGAAGCGAAGACAAACAAAACAAGTGAGTTCCGTGCCACTCGCTTACCTCATTTTTCAGTCCAAAACGGTACTGCTATATGCGAAGTCGCCAAGAATGAAAGTAGACTAATGTACTCATGGGGAGCTTTCAGTACCACTGACTAAAGGTTTTCTATTCGGGATTGGAGGAAGTTTAGCACACGGTGGTCATCATATCAATGATGACGAGGCATTCCATGATCGTGATGTGAGTAAGAAATTGTGCACCATTGTTGGAGAGCAAGATATAGTGTAGTTCGCTGCGGGATGGTTGAGCCGATATGAGTTTAGCGAGGTGCCAAACCCGTTTTCTACCAATTGTTAAAGCGAACAAGTGATAAGACTGTATCACTCGTATTACTCGTTTTCTACCACTTTTGTCGCATGCGCGCTTCAACAAGAAGGCAGAGAACGGCTTTGACGGCGTGACACACTCATACTGCCTGACACGCCCAGCCGTCCGCAACGAACTAGAGTATTATTCGATAAATCGTGCCCGAAAGCTTTCTCTGGCACACGAGTAAAGTTGTATGCGGCCACTGAAAACACTCATCAGTGGCACAAGGACCACAATGCTTGCATATCAAGAACCTGTTGGGCCGCACTGGCCGGAATCCCAGACTGTCGATCATCTTGTGTGATCAAGGCACGACGAACAAATTATTAACCATTGCGGCGTTGTCCGAAGGTCCGAAGGGACTGGTACACATCTTGCAGTACCAGAGCGAGTTTCCATAAACTTTCCCACAAGAGGCTCACCTTCGGAAATTGCTTGCTTCGCTGCTTCAGCTTGACGCAGGCACTGGAGATCACCTGATGCTTGCCAGCGACTTAGAATATCTTCACCTCCTAACGGCGGCCTAGATAGCAAGTGGGGAATTACTTCTACAGAAAAAGGAGCATCCCAGAGTTATTCTACTATTGGCTTTCCGTCACCCTCTGCGAAGTGAACTTTGCTGATGCGCGCCATAAACAAAACTTCATTTGCCCCAGCCCCCCCCCCCTCTTTCCCCTGTACACTTGTGCCCTTCAACTGCGCTTGCGCCGAGCCTATATTGACTTGTTTGAGTTATACACTTTCGAGTTCATGAAGCGCATCGTGGGATCACAATGATCATTTTGAGGTCCTATCTAACATTGCGATTCCGACCTCCAAGGACTTGGTGAATAATCCTGTGTTGGGATTTCAAGTGGACGACAAATCTGCGTACGCTATCAAGTCATTTGGAGAGGTATCAATTTCACCAAAAGTTTCCTACAATTTAAACCCAAGCTATGCTCTTACTCTCGAGGTGGATTCTTGCCATGTGGGAAGTAAGAGGGTCTGCACCTGTGGAGGTATGCCACTCTCATCATTCCAAAGGCTAGCTGCCACTACCTTCCAGCTTCTTTTCCGCTCCCTCTCAAATGATGAAAGTGGCATACTTCCACGGCTGCTCACCTCCTACATGGCAAGGGCTATCTTCGGGAGCGACTGCACAGTATGTATTTGAGCTGTACGCCCCCATTTGACTGCATTAACTTTTGTATTACAGTTCTTGAATACCTGTCCTCCGGCACTTCCTCCGCCACCATTGACTGGAACGTGGTTTGTTACGTATGCCAGCAAAAAATGGCTACAGACAACACTGGCTGATCTTGACGAAGTACGTGAAACATAAGAATTCATGTCACATGAATTACTACCATTTCACATCCTGAACAGGGTACAGTATCGTTGTGCGAAACACATAGGGGGTCGTACTTTCCCCTCCCCGCTCAATGGAAAAACTTTTGGGTAGAAAAGTGGAAAATGTGGAAAATTGGTAGGTAGGTGTTGGGGAAAGGGGGAGACCCTCATTCAGGTGGGGGGTCGCACTGATACCCTCTCCCGGGGTCCTACCTACATCACCATCTCACATATCACGATGCTGTACCCTGTTCATGTAGCACTCTCTGCTAAATACGAGTTGCTATGAATAGTCCTCCACACTATCCATACATCTGCTGGAGTAGTGTTGAAGGAAGCGTCAAAAAGAAGAAGAAAGGGAAATAGAAAGAAAGCTTTCAGGACCCTTTTTTAGTATGACAACTGCTGTTTGGTGCCGCTGTTCGCGCTGCGAATGTTACGTTAAAAATACGGAGTGAATTATAAACGAAAGTCCCAATTTCAGGCGCGACTCGAACCATAGCACGTTGCGTTGTACGTTGGGGAGCCCTCAAAGAAGAGGGAGGGGGATCGCATTTGGTTGATGAAGGAAGAAGGGGCCGTCTTGAGCCTGTGTAGAATATTTTTCTGATTATTGTTCACTGTGTCAAGTGCGCGGTACCCCAGCTCTTCATTCGACGGACTGAAAAATTCTGAAGTTTGCTAAGGTCGTAGGCGGGAAGGGTCGTAACCAGAGAGATTAAGTCGTTTTCAGCAATAGCTATTG